ACAGTCTCTCCCCAATTTTGGGTTAAGAATTTTAACTTTTCCTTTTTATGATTTATGCATGTTTGTTGGCCATCTAAGGGTTCTTGTATATAATAAGCAACCATGCCTCCAAATAAATAAGAGACAATGGCCCACAAAAGGCAACTGAGATTAAAATAATGTACCATGTAACAATTGCAATCCCAACGTAATTATAAAACATTAGCTATGCCTGTTGCTGTGATTATCATTTGCTTTCCAGGCTCAATATTGCCATTTCTACTCAAAAGCAATATTGTTCAATCTCATATATTAACAATTCATCGGCGCCAAACCAATAAAACTGAAGTTGACCAGATAGTTCATTCTATATTGTGTAGGATTTATTTTTAAAAAATTATCCCATGTGTTTTGTATTCTTGGAACAATCGGAATTGTTTATGAAGCTGGTTACAAATTTGCCATAACTATATTTTAACAGTCAGAAAAACAAAAACCTGGCTTAAACCTAAGAGAATTGACCAGGGGGGCTTTTGCCCAAGTTCGCCTGGTGCACCAATTGCGGCCTTATTTGGATCAGGATGCGCTTCTAACGGTCACTCATGCCCTTGTCACCTCGAGGCTGGATTATTGTAACGCGCTCTACATGGGGCTACCCTTGAAAAGCGTTCATAGACTGCAGTTAGTTCAGAATGCGGCTGCGCGGGTGATAGTGGGTGTGCCGAGGTACACCCATGTTACACCTATCCTCCGTGAGCTGCACTGGCTGCCTATTGGCCTCCGGACTCAATTCAAGGTGTTGGTTATCACCTTTAAAGCCCTACATGACTTAGGACCAGAATACCTTCGAGACCGCCTGCTGACACATATCTCCCAGAGACCAGTAAGATCCTATAGATTGGGCCTCCTTCAGGGGCCGTCAGCCAAGCAATGTCGGCTGGCGGGCCCTCCGAGGAGAGCCTTCTTGATGGCTGCTCCGACTCTTTGGAACCAGCTCCCCCTGTAAATCCGGACCATACCCACTCTGATGGCCTTCAGGAAAGCCATAAAAACTTGGCTGTTCCAGCAGGCCTGGGGCTGTTGACCTCACTGTTGAGGTCCGGCGCCGACTAGAATGAATTTATGAGGGATGACTGTTGTTTTAAATTGTCTTGTTTTTATGTTTTTTATATTTCTGTTTGTAAGCCGCCCGGAGTCCTTTGGGATTGGGCGGCATTTAAAAGCTTTAAATAAATAAACAAACAAACAAACAAACAAACAAATAAATTTACAGGGAGTCCTTGATTTACAATTATAATGGAGCCTACCAAATTACGTTTGTAAGTTGTGTGACTTGTAAAGTGGGTTATCACATGCCTGATCTGATTTTACAGCCATCTGCAGCATCCCCTTCAGTCACATGACTGCAACTTATGACATTTTTCCTGAAAACCAGCAGTTACTTCTGGTTTAGAAGGCGTGATGGTTGTAAAACAGGTCATCCCATAACTGACCTCTTTTTGACAGCGTTAAGTGAGCACTTAGGAAAAACAGCACCATGATGGTCACAACAGTACAATTAAAGCTTTGCCTGTTCTTCCTCCCCTTAATTTACACTGCACATGTGAGGCATACAGCCAGTTTGGTGGTGAAGACACCACCAGATTAGAAAACAGGAGACTGTGAATTCTAGTCTTGCTTAAGCATGAAGCCAGCTGGGTGACCTTAGGCCACACACTGACTCTCGGCCCAAGAAAGGAGGCAATGACAACCCATTTCTGCCAAGGAAACTGCAAGGACTTGTTCAGGCAGTTGTCAGGAGTCAATACTCTCTCAAAGGCATTTGTACACACACACAGACACAAACACACATGTGTGTGTGATGCACAGCAAAAACAGAATGTTCTGACCTAGGCTTCCAAAAAGCATGAGGCAAACTTCTGGTCCCAGCAAAAAAAACCTTTTATTTACTGTGAATTTTGCATATTCACATCCAACAAAGTCTTTCATGGGAGGATTTACAGTCACAGACCTTATCTGGCTTGGAGGCCGATATCAGCAAAACTTGGCAAGGAGTCTCAGAGAATCACGAGCCAATTAAGTGAACTAATTGCCTCCCGCAAACTCCACTCCCCTTTCGCTCTTTTATTTCCTCTGGGAGGGGCCATTCACCGTCCACCTGTGGCCTTACTCCCAAATCAACGTCTATTCTTTGGCTGTTCCCTTCGTCTGGCAACTCTGCGCATGCACACACTGGAAATAGGCTCCAGCTGTTTGTCTACCTCACTAATGTCTGACTCTGAAGGCAGCTGATAACTGGCATATGGCTGTGGCTCCCTCTCTGCCTCCGACACAGAGCCCTCATCAGAGCCTTCCTCAGACTCCAGTACTGGCCCATGTTCCTCCCCAACCTCCTCACTGTCTGAATCTGCTGCCAGTTCTACTGGCGAGCCACAAGGAGCTTCCATCACAATGTTGCAGCTATCTGTAGCTTATGGCCACAGCAACTTTTTTTGATTCATAATGTCATCTTCAACAACTACTTTTAAAAACTGTGTTAGATGCTATGCACTAAATATTCACTGCACTGACTTGCAGTACCTTCCCCTGCCTCCCTCCCATTCTTCCTTCCTCCCCCAAATTAATTTCTTCTTAAAGGGGTCTTTAAAAGATTGCTCAGTTTTAGCTACAAATACTTTTAAATTTTGTTTCTGAATTGCTACCGGAAAAAAAAGAATTCTTGCCACGGATAATATACTTTTCCAGTACGATACTTTATGTTGAAAGACCTGGAAATGCTTTGCCAGAAAGTAAAATAACTCCCATTTATAGCCCTCTTTGCATCTGTGAGCAGCAACCAAAATGGTTACTTCTCTTCTTTGAAAGGATGGGATACTATAATTGCCCACTGTTAAAAAAAAGTCTAGTTCAGCAGCTGGCCTAAAAAATAATTGGGCTGGAAAAAATGCATAAGAGAAAAAGAAAGGTACAACTAAGCATTCGGAAATTCTTCTGAAAATATGCTTTAAGCTCTATCGTTTTGGACTTTCATACACTGGACTTTGTGCTGGTTTCAATATATTACAGGCAAGTCCTCAATTTACAAAACATTTGTTTAGAGAGCGTTTGAAGTAAAAACGCCCCTGAAAGAATGACTTAGCAACTGGCTTCCCCGCTTTAAATAGTCACATCCCCACTGTCACAAAGATTAAAATTTGGCTGCTTGGCAACTAATATGTACTTAAAATGGTTGCAGCACCCTCGGGTCATGTGATCACCAGCCAGCTTCCAATGGGAGAAGCCGCATTGGCTTAATGATCACATGATTCACTTCACAGCTCCAGTGGTTCATTTAATAACCAAAAAAAAAAGGCAATAAAATCCGATGCAACTCACTCTTAACTTTGCTTAGACACAGAAACTGTATTCCCAATTGTG